AAGATTGTGTCCAGAATGTGAACCTTGCTTAACCATACCTTCATCAGCATGGTGGACCACCCTGCTTTTCACTGAATATACAAAGTGCTCAGAATGTCGACCCACTACGATGCCCCAAGATCGTTGCTAAAGGGTCTATGGGGTTGATTTACTAAAGGCAAACAGAATGTGCACTTTGCAAAATTCCTCCAGAGCTTAGTAGATGAGCAGAAGCTCTGCTGACTTTCATCATCCAATCATACGTAAGAAAAAAAGCTTTTTTTTTTTTTTTTTTTTTAATTTTCCTTGCACATGATTGGGTATTCTGTGCAAAGTGAAGCTTTACCTCATTTACCAAGCTCTGGAGCAACTGCACTTGCAGAGTGCAAAGTCTATTCACCTTTAGTAAATCCACCCCTATGTTTCAATGTCAGATCTTCACCCAAGATTTATTTACTTTCACATAAGATTCAATTAGGAAAAGAGTGAATCTTGGTTGAAAATTGGGTGAAAATATTGGCAAATAGTCCCCTAAGAATTCCTAAGGTGAACTGAAGTCCATGTTGTTTGGTGGTTGCAAATCATTAAGCTTTGTTTAAAACCAGGGACAGTCATGTTTTCCACCATTTTACAATTCAAATTTGGCTGAACCAGTCTGCCGTACTGTACCCACAAACGTGCCTCACGATCCAATATAAGTGCTAAAGTGGCCTTAGCAGACCGATAACTATGCTAGTTCATGACAAGTTCATGTCTGGTTGCTCCATAATTTCAGCTTAGACCATTTCCACCAACATGGTGGACTTCCCTGCTTTTCACTGAATATACAAGGTGCTCAGAATGTTTTCCAGGCGAACTGAACTCCATGTTGTTTGGTGGTTGCAAATCATTCAACTTCATTTAAAACCAAGGCTAGTCGTTGTCACCATTTTACAATGTAAATTTGGCTGATCTAGTTTACCGTACTGTACCCATAAAATGTGCCTCAGAAGACAATAAAAGCAGGGTGGACCACCGTGTTGGTGGAATGCCCCATGATTGTTGCTAAAGGGTCTATGTTTCAATGTCTTCACCCAAGATTTACTCGTTTTCACATAAGATTCAATTAGGAAAACAATGAATCTTGGTTTAAAATTGGGTGAAAAAAATATTTGCCTTCCTATGTGAACTGAACTCCATGTTGTTTGGTGGTTGCAAATCATTAAACTTCGTTTAAAACCAGGGACAGTCATGTTTTTTCCACCATTTTACAATTCAAATTTGGCTGAACCAGTCTGCCGTACTATAACCACAAACGTGCCTCACGATCCAATAAAGTGCTAAAGTGGCCTTAGCAGACCGATAACTCTGCTAGTTCATGACAAGTTCATGTCTGTTTGGTGGGGTTCTCCATAATTTCAGCTTAGACCACTTCCACCAACATGGTGGACTTCCCTGCTTTTCACTGAGTATACAAGGTGCTCAGAACGTCTTCCTAGGTGAACTGAACTCCATGTTGTTTTTGGTGGTTGCAAATCATTCAACTTCATTTAAAACCAAGGACAGTCATTATTTGTCTCCATTTTACAATGCAAATTGGGCTGATCTAGTTTACCGTACTGTACCCATAAAATGTGCCTCACAAGCCAATAAAAACAGGGTAGACCACCGTGTTGGTGGAATGCCCCATGATTGTTGCTAAAGGGTCTATGTTTCAATGTCTTCACCCAAGATTTACTCATTTTCACATAAGATTCAATTAGGAAAACAATGAATCTTGGTTGAAAATTGGGTGAAAAAAATATTTGCCTTCCTAGGTGAACTGAACTCCATGTTGTTTGGTGGATGCAAATCATTAACCACTTTGTTTAAAACCAGGGACAGTTGCCATATTTGCCACCATTTAGGAAAACAATGAACAATGCAAATTTGGCTGAACCAGTCTGCCGTACTGTACCCACAAACGTGCCTCACAATCCAATCAAAAGTGCTAAAGTGGCCTTAGCAGACCGATAACTCTGCTAGTTCACGACAAGTTCATGTCTGGTTGGCTCCATAACTTTCATTTCCACCAACATGGTGGACTTCCCTGCTTTTCACTGAATATACAAGTGCTCAGGATGTCTTCCGAGGTGAACTGATCGTCACCCAAGATATACTCATTTTCCCATAAGATTCAATTAGGTAAACAATGAATCTTGGTTGAAAATTGGGTGAAAAAATATTTGCCTTTCTAGGTGAACTGAACTCCATGTTGTTTGGTGGTTGCAAATCATTCAACTTCATTTAAAACCAAGGACAGTATTTATTTGTCACCATTTTACAATGCAAATTGGGCTGATCTAATTTACCGTACTGTACGTACCCCACAAAATGTGCCTCACAATCCAATAAAAGCAGGGTAGACCACTGTGTTGGTGGAATGCCCCATGATTGTTGCTCAAGGGTCTATGTTTCAATGTCTTCCCCCAAGATTTACTCGTTTTCACATAAGATTCAATTAGGAAAACAACGAATCTTGGTTGAAAATTGGGTGCAAAAAATATTTGCCTTCCTAGGTGAACTGAACTCCATGATGTTTGGTGGTTGCAAATCATTAAACTTCATTTAAAAAAAAACCCCAAAAAAACACAACTATATGGTCTTGTCGGCCATACATAACTCTATATTATATACACTTCTGAACATTCATAGGTAGTTTAACATTATTGCTTAAATAGGAGGGGGGGGGGAGGTCCAGTATTTTATATAGTGCACATCTAAAACAAGTAGATGTTTAAAGGGGGTATGTGGGGGTGAGGGGATATTGCTTTTTTTTTTATATTCTTTGGAAAGCGAATATTAAAACTGGTAAAAAAAAAAACAATGAATGTCTTCAAACGCTCCCTTGTGTGCTATTTACAATTAATAAGTGCAAACTTATGTCGTGATTGATCAGGGTAGTAGAGAACCCTGAAACGTACCCGCCAAGATCTTTGTCAAACTCCAAAGTATTAAAAAGATTACCTTTTCTTCCTTCTGAGGTCAAGGGTTATAGCAGACACAGCTGACTACTACAACCTCTAGACGTTAAAATTTGGAGATATCAATTTTTTTTTAAACCATTTTGGCAAGGATAGCCAAGAAAGTACTTCTAAACGGACCATTTCTGAAGGTCACCGGACCACTAAGCAAGAAACGCAGAGTTTGGAGGGACCGATGCAATCATCGTGGCAAAATGCTCCACAGCCCTTGCACATGATCATGGCCTTCAGCCGACAGTAGCATTTGGAGGGGGACAACTCCATGCCGCTATCATCTGTGTAAGCCTGGACAGAAATGGGCTGATCAGGACAACTGGAATTCCCACTGTGACTGGAAGGGATGGTTGTCACAGTCACAGAGAAAGAAACAATGTTGTCCGTGTTGGACGAAGTGAAATCTCCACCTGTGGGAATAGAAGATCTGTGTAGACAATCTGGAGAAGTGGAGATGTTTATGGTGCCTCCATAACTCGATCCAAGAAGACCAACAGAATTTCCATTAGTCCTGGATGTTTGAACTTCCTCTGGATGATGATGCTGGAGCCCAACTGATGTTGTATGCATTCCAAACATGTCCGAAGTGTTCTGTTTTAACCGGACACCAAGAACGTTTGCCATTTTGGCCAAATCTCTGGCTATGTTTGCATCACTGTAGATGTTGCCTTTGGTGATGATCTGAATTTTGTCCTTCAAGTCTTCAGTCTGAAACTGTTCGACTTTTATGTTTTTGTTACAGAGATTTTCTAATTTTAATAAGGAAACTTGGTTACTAGACTCTGCTTTAACAGCTGAAGTTGCACATTCACTCATGCTTTCTTCAGACTCTATGCCCTCCTCACTGCTCTCTGTAATGGACTCTGTTTCATCATTCGCAATGCCTAGGCGATCAGGATCATTTAAAGAAGTTTCTGCCTCACTGCTACCGACTTGTGTTCTTCTAAAGGGGTCTGGAGCTCTTCCATATGTTGAGAGGTTGAGTAGGTAGTGACCAGACATGGCTGGTTTTGATGCCCGTCTCCCAGTGAAACCAAGCATGAACCTCTGGGAGATGTTTTCCTTCTGAGAGGCACTGTCATTCATTTCTGGTGGACTTGATGCATTCATGGAGTTCTCTTGCCAAACCTTTTTCACCAAAGACTGTAAAATGTGTTCCTGGTTTGCAATGCTGGCCACAGAAGCTTGCACCGAATTGTTACTTGGATTGCTTAGGTTCTTTCCTGAAAAGAGTTCCAATATTCTTTGGCCAGATGGGTGTTGTCGATTTTGACATAAAAATCTCTCCAGCTGTTGGGCAGCTGTTTGAGATGTTTTATCCATGTCTTCCTTCTTACAAGACTCCACTGCTTGCACTGTGCTTGCACTGGGTGGTTTATCAGCTGATAAGGGTACAGTCTTCATTTCAACTTTTGTTAGCGGTCTTGGCAAAATTTGGTCTAGAGGGACGTTCTTTCCTTGCAGCAGTTGAGTTACAAGTGGGTTATTTGCAGGAATGCTGGAGCTTGACCTGGCTGATTGTCCACTAGAAGTGGCTAACCGCTGAGATTTTGCACTGATGTCTGACGGCTGTCTAAGTAATGTTTTGTGAATCCCTTGGGCTGTTACAGAGGTCCGCAACTTTGAAGAAGGGTTTGCTGTAAATGAGACAGGGGATGCTACTGAAGCCAACTGTGAATCTGAAGATGGTTTTGTGGCAGGTATTTTCAGATCTGACCCATCAGCCAAAATTCCCTTTGTGCTTTCAGCTTTGATATGTTCGCAATGGTGGGCCAGGGTTCCCAATCCTGAAGCCCCAGGAACTTTCATATTTTTATTTACTGTTACAGATAATGGGTTTTGATTTTTGATGCTGGAGGCAATGTCACGCTCTGAGGCCTGGAAGGATCTTGTGCTTCCAGAGGAAGTAGTAGTTGAGATTCTGGGTTGTATACAGGGTTTTTGCAGTAGCTGTGCTCTTGTTGCACCGTAAGGCGGTGCCTGCCCCGTAACCTTGACTTCGCCTTGGTTTTGACTAGTTGGTTGGGGGGCTGAAGTTCCCCTTTCACTTCTCCCGCTTCCAGTACTTCCCAAGTCCAGTATTCTCTTCCTGCTCTCATCGATGTCACCTCCTGCACCACCTCCTGGCACTGCTCCTCCTCCAGGGCCTGGTCCAGGGACAGAACCTCCATGGGCAGCTGCAGCTGCTGCTCTCTTTGCTCGGGCCAGCTGGGCTTTCGCCTTAATGTCGGCCAGAGTACGGGCTCCTGTTCTTCCTGGACTGTTGCCAGTGGTTGGATATGGGACCCTGTGAGAGACCTGGCTGGCAAGAAATGGCTTTTGGGTGATCCATGCCCTGGGAATCTATAATAGACAAAATGTATACAAATACATGATTTCCAGAAGTAACATAAGGTACATCCACATCTAATGCAATGTAATAACCATTCACTGCTTTGAGTTAATTGTCTGTTATGAACAACTTAAAACACTAATTGCTAGATCAGTCTATTTTCAGAACTACTTTTTAGAAAGGTGTGTATTCTGGCCCAAATTGTCTATTTTAGGACACCCTATTGCATATCTACACGAGTCTTCATTCTAATCTATGTATAGAAAACTCCACCCTGTTTTGGTACTTAAAGAGGTTCTAAAAGGCAGAAGGTTTTTTTTTTACCTTAAAGCGGAACTCCACCCAAAAAGGGAAGTTCCGCTTTAAGCTTTTGTCTCCCGCTCCCCATTAAGGATTGGCACCTTTGGGGAGCAGAGGGGCATTTGGGGGACAGGTACCTGCTCCCACATCCGCTGCGATTGCCTAGGCGATCGGAAGCGGCAGTTGTCCTCTCTCCCCGTAGTCTTCTGGGACATGTGACAGGTCCCAGAAGACTACGGGGCCATTCACAAAGCGCAGTGCTTCTCGCACATGCGCAAGCCGCAAGCTGTCACAGCCGGGTGCCCACACTGAAGATGCCGGTGCCAGGGAGAGAAGACAGCAGGTGAAACCAGCCGTGGTGAAGACACCGCTGGACTGAGGGACAGGTAAGTGACTGTATTTTAAAAGTCATCAGCTACAGTTTTTGTAGCTGCTGACTTTTTTTTTTTTTTTTCAGGTGGAACTCCGCTTTAATGCATTCTCTGCATTAAGGTAAAAAACCCTCTGCAATCAGCTCCCCCTACAGCCGATCGTGATCCAGTGCTGTGCATGAGAACCATGTCTCTCTCTCCTGACTGGACAGAGAGGTAAGAGCAGAAGCCAATAGCTGCTGTTGCTGTCAATCACAGCCAGTGAGTAGAGAGCAGGGGGGTGGGGGCCAAGCCGCACTCTGTGTATAAATGGACACACAGAGCGTGGCTCCAGTGCCCCTATAGCAAGTGACTTCCTATAGGGGCACTTGCAAGGGAGGAGGGGACCTGAACGCTGTCAGAGGAGGATCTGGGCTGCTCTTTGCAAAACCATTGCACAAAGCACGTAAGTACAAAAATTTTGTTATTTTTTTTTTTATTTTTAAAAAGGAAAGTTTTAGGTTTACAAGTTAAAGTCGCTTTAAAGTGGAAGTATGCGCACAAATGAAAATGCCTATGATACATTCTGTCAATAGCATTAACAATCCAGTTTTTTTTTTTTTATTCTATTCTCTAATGCTATATCGTGTCATTATATGTTGATCCTGCCAGTAGATCTATTAGGTTTCTCTTTTTATTTACAGCAAACGTGTTGCAAAAAAATTTGCTAAAGCAGGTGTTACCTGTAAAAAAAAAGGCAGCAAATACCCACCTTTCCTAGTGACCCATGCAGCTGAACACTGATCTGACCACAAGAACTGCCCCCCCTGAAGTCCACTGGAAAACAGACACTTCTAGGGGTGTTGATTTCCCGGGTACCCTGATGCTGTCACTGGTTCTTCCTCACTGCATGACAGAGTGATGATGTGAGATCAGAGGGAGGAACCAGTAAGAGCCGAGGGGGACACAAGAGATCGACACTCCTGCAAGTGCTGGGTTCCCAGGATTACATGGGACAGTTCTAGTGATCCGAGTGCCACTGAGCAGCATAAAAACCCATGGCAAGGAGATATTCAGCCACTGAGTGTCAGTATTACATCAGTCTAAACAGGCTGAACTGCAGTAATACTGACACTCAGTGGCTGGATGTTTCCTTGCCATGGGAACTCTGCTATACTGAAGTTTCTATCTGCCAAACCCAGCTCTGATGAAGAAGGGAGCGCCCTTCGAAACGCGTTTGATTTTACCCCCCCCCCTTTGGATTTACCTGTAACCCTGTGTGGATTATGGCCAACTTATGCCTGTTTTTACCATCACTTTTGTATGTATATTTCCGAAATAAAATAAAATTAGTCACTATTTATCGAGGTAATGCGCAAGGTTTGTGCGCTCTTTCTTTCATCCTCTTCTACAGTGTATATTACACTCCTGGCTCATTCATGAGATATGAACGATGTGGATCGTGGTGCCCTTTGCAGAACTCCGCTATGTTCACAAATGTCTGTCACTGATGAGTCCCTGCTGCAGCCTTTCACCTTGTGACTTGCTACAAAGTTACAATGCTGCAGCCTGACCACTAGGGAGGGGAAGAGACTAGGGCAATGCTTTCTCCAGCCTGCAGCAGACTGATGACATCTAAGCCAGGGAAAAGCTCAGACTGGAGTTCATAGACTGCTTTTCAATCACATATTTTAGGGGACAATGCTTGATGCAGGTTTTCAAAGTTACTAAGAGGTTCACTTTAACAACAAAAAAAGAGTTTTCAACACACTATTACCTTGAGAGGTGGGACCTTCTGCTCTGGGGTCTGCTGTGCTGTTTCCGTCTGGGGCTTACATAAGGCACGAAATGGCTGCGGAGATTGGCTAGGTGTCATCAAACGTGGACTCTTCTCAGGACTGGCCACACTGCTTTCATCAACATCCAACCGTCTCTTGGCTCCACTGATGAGGTCGGTCTCCATCTTCTCTGGTGACTCCTCCAGGGTCTCGGCTCCACTTGAGTCTTGGGGAAAGTTCTCCGTACTTGCAGGCGTTGTGGGCAATTGTAAGACCGTTGGGCTCTTTGGTTCGCTGGGGGTCACCTGCGTATGGCTTGGTGGCTCGATGTCTTTAGATTCACAGGCTGTGTTTGTAGTTTGGGTCATTTTCTCAACGGAAGTATCCAGTTTGTTCTCTTCATCCATCTCCGAGTCTTTTATGGAGTCAGCTTTGACAGCGGTACCAGTGTCAGGATTTTTGGGTTGTGGTATGGCTTCTGTAACTTCAGGTAAGTGAGATTTCAGGGGACTCCCCTGGTCTTTTTCTGCCTTCACAGTCGGAAGATCATCTAGTGCTTCCCTCTCAGGATTAGTCTCAGTGTGCTCTACAGATGGAAACATTTGTCCTTTGGTGTCATTATCTTCTGCTGTCATGTCACTAAATTCCTCCATAGTCAGACCAGAACTAAAAGACAAAAAACAAGGCAGAAACACCACAGATTAGTTCAGGTATGCATTTAATAATAATCAAGCAAGTGCATTTTTAATCACAACTAGTAAAAGCACCCACTGTGATCCCAAAATGCATGAATGAAAGCCAAGGATGTGAGGTCTCCCTGCTGGTGCTTGGAAGATGGGAGCGGGCGTCCGCGCACCAACTCAAGTGTAAATGTAGAAGAAGGAAGGATGCCGCTGAAACCAGCCCGTAATTCTAGGCTGGGTCCTTCCTTCTAGTAAAAGCACTCAAACATGTCTTTACATTAAATCCCACCTCCAGCCTTCCCTTCAGTCTTGCTCAGTTGTACCGGATCTTCTCCTGGACTGAAAGGGCTTCCTCCGATTTCACTGCACACTGTGAGCTTCTTACAAAGTGCACTAAAAGTTGCAGTAAGTCAGACAGAGCCCGCCTCATTTTCTGCATGGAGGACGTCCTGCCTAACCCTTTCTTCCCCAGCCGTACTGTCCCTGAGCTGCCCCTTTCATTCAATAAATTTCAGTTCTTCCAATTGTAGAGGCTCAGAGTGACATGTAGGGGGTACCTAAGGTGGCTGGCATGCATCCGCTCCTCCAGACCCACATCCATCCATCAGGGCATTCTGATATTTCCATAACTCCTCCCTGCCTGCTTGGACCAGGGCTGAAGGTTCCTGAGTGGAGACCTGAGGAAGGGTGCTGTTATGTTTTTAGTAACCTATGTACAGCACCCACCAGCCATGACCTACAATGTTCAACCTGCTGATTCACCCTGATGGGCGTAGCCAACAGGAGCCACTGTAAGGGTATGGGAGAGGTAGATAAAGACCGCAAAATCTGGTGCAGCTGTGCATGGTAGCCAATCAGCTTCTTCAATTAAAGTGTTACTAAAACAACAACAGTAAAATCAGTCTGTATATGCAGTAAAACATGCTTGTTATACTCACTGTGGAACCTAAGGGGTTAATCCTCCGCATTGTGCAAAAAATGCTGCTTGATCCTGACTTCTCTGATCCTCCCCTTCTTCCACTGCCCCCCTCTTATCTCCTGATAAGACATATCATGTGGAGATACTCTGCACAAGCTCAGTTTAGTGTGTATTGCTAGAGGTTTTATTTTTTTCTTGGGGGACTGCATGTGATCAGCACAGGGCCAATCTGCACTGCCCAGACAGAGGTCAGGAGTTCTGTATCCTCCTAGAGAAAACTCCACCTACAAGCTTTAACCAGTGCTCTGCTGAACGCTGATAGAAGTCGCAAGACTGCTCTATACTGCTGATGAGAAAAGGTATTTATCAGTTTATATTTACTAAAATAATTGCATTTCCATGTTGTGTGTACTGTGGGAGACCAGATATAGTGAATGCAGGGTCCGGGGAGACCAGATATAGTGAATGCAGGGTCCGGGGAGACCGGATATAGTGAATGCAGGGTCCGGGGAGACCTGATATAGTGAATGCAGGGTTCGGGGAGACCCGATATAGTGAATGCAGGGTCCGGGGAGACCAGATGTAGTGAATGCAGGGTCCGGGGAGACCCGATATAGTGAATGCAGGGTCCGGGGAGACCAGATATAGTGAATATAGGGTCCGGAGAGACCAGACATAGTGAATGCAGGGTCCGAGGAGGCCAGATATAGTGAATGCAGGGTCCAGGGAAACCGGATATAGTGAATGCAGGGTCCGGGGAAACCAGATATAGTGAACGCAGAGTCCAGGGAGACCAGATATAGTGAATGCAGGGTACAGGGAGACCGGATATAGTGAATGTAGGGTCCGGGGAGACCGAATATAGCGAATGCAGGGTCCGGGGAGACCATATATAATGAATGCAGGGTCCGGGGAGACCGGATATAGTGAATGCGGGGTCCGGGGAGACCAGATATAGTGAATGCGGGGTCCGGTGAGACCAGATATAGTGAATGCAGGGTCCGGTGAGACCAGATATAGTGAATGCAGGGTCCGGGGAGACCAGATATAGTGAATACAGGGTCCGGGGAGACTGGATATAGTGAATGCAGGGTCCTGGGAGATCGGATATAGTGAATGCAGGGTCCTGGGAGACCAGATATAGTGAATACAGGGTCCGGGAGACTGGATATAGTGAATGCAGGGTCCTGGGAGATCGGATATAGTGAATGCGGGGTCCAGGGAGAGCGGATATAGTGAATGCAAGGACCTGGGTTTAAGCTTTGACAAAAAAAAAAAATCTGGAAGCTGATTGGTTTCTATGCAAAGCTGCACCATATTTTGCACTCTCCAGTTTTAATAAATCAACCCCAATGGGAGGAATTAACAAAGAGTGAAGTAAGCACCATGCTTGCCTCACTCTTTTAAATGAAAAACAAATTGAACCGCTGCTGCTTCTAATTAAAAAAGGAGAGCAAGCCCATGTATTGATTAAGACCACAGTTCTCTGTTCTGTTGTGTCTGACATACATAGTGCAAAGAACTAGAGAGTTGTAGCTGCATTCTCTGATCTCTCTGCTATCCCCACCCCATGCTGAGCTCAGAGCTGGAAGGTTGTTAAAGCGGAGCTCCACCCAAAAGGGGAAGTTCCGCTTTAAGTCTTTATCCCCCGCTCCCCATTAAGGATTGGCATCTTTGGGGAGCGAGTACCCGAATTTGACAATTACTCACTCCAACTTCTGCTGCGATTGCCTAGGCGGTCAAAAGCAGAAGTTGTCCTCCCCCCTCCCTCCCAGTAGTCTTCTGCGGCACGTGACAGGTCCCAGAAGACTACGGGACCATTCACAAAGCGCAGCACTTCTCGCGCATGAAGCCACAAGCTGTCACAGCCAGGTGCCCACACTGCCTAGGCGATCGGAAGCGGCAGTTGTCCTCTTTCCCCATAGTCTTCTGGGACGTGACAGGTTCCAGAAGACTACGGGGCCATTCACAAAGCGCAGCACTTCTCGCACATGTGCAAGCCTCAAGCTGTCACAGCCGGGTGCCCACACTGAAGATGCCGTCGCTAGGGAGAGAAGATGGCCAGTGAAACCAGCCATGGTGAGGACACCGCTGGACTGAGGGACAGGTCAGAAACTGTATTTTAAAAGTTAGCAGCTACAGTTTTTGTAGCTGCTGACTTTTGTTTTTTACACTGCAAGTTCTGCTCGTGTAGTGTAATAACTGCACAAGCAGAGACAGGGATGTGAGCTGTCTGCTAACAGCTCACACCTGGTGGGAATCTGTGACAGTTTCCTATATGGAAAACTTCCGAATTCTTTCTGTTAATCAGGTGCAGACCCGTGCTAGTTTTTATTTCACTCTGAAATAGAAACTGGCACGGGTGTTCCAAATAGACCTATCTGCTTAGTTAATGTGGTGCATGCCACTCCTGAAAGTTTCCTGCGCCATTAAAATGCTTAGTTAATTCTATGGAATGTAACAAGGTGCAGAGGTCAGTATCAGCTACGTAAGGTATAATCACTGTGTAAAGCTGGCCACAAATGGATTGAAATTCAGCCGGTTCAGCAGGGACTGGACACATTTCGATCCATCTATGGGCAGGCTGGTTGTCAATCGACTTCTGTACGACCTGCCTATTGGATTTTCTTGCTCGATCAGTGACGCTGACTATAGCCTGCAACACTGATTATTTATTATTTTACAGAATTTATAGAGCACCAATAGTTTGCCCTCATGTTATAAAGCGTTGCACAGACAGTACAGGAGGAATCAGATCAATGCGGGGAACATTACCATTAATTCCCCCCCATCATTATGAAATGAGTTGATGGGGCAATCTAATCAATTTTTTTTCATTTAACCTGCTGGTTGCATGAGAAAAAAAAAAGTGTCATCTATGGCCTGACTTACACTGTTATTAGCTGCAGTCAACTTTCAAGGAATTTAGTGTCCAAAGCAGAACATCCAAGTGAAAGATAGAACATCAACTAGTCAGAGAAAAAAAAAAAATCAAAAACAGAATCACTGAGCTGGAAAAAGGATCCCCCTTGTGTCAGTATTTTGTTGAACCCCCTTTTGCTTTAATTCCAGTGTTTAGTCTGTTGGGATTTGTCTCTGCTAACTTTGCACAACTAGACTTTGCAATATTTGCTTGTTCTTCTTTTCAGTTCAATTTGATGGTGACGTTTGTGGACTGCAGTCTTCAAGTCATTCCACAGATTTTCAGTGGGGTTGGAGTCTGGGCTCTGCCTAGGCCATGCAAGGACATTCACCTTCTTCTCCTCCAATCACTGTGGGCTCATTGTTGCTGAGAAACCCCCACAACAGGATATTCCCCCCCTCCATAACAGGATATCCCCCCCCCTCCATAACAGGATATCCCCCCCTCCCTAACAGGATATCCCCCCCCCTCCATAGCAGGATATCCCCCCCCTCCCTAACAGGATATCCCCCCCCCCCATAGCAGGATATCCCCCCTCCATAGCAGGATATCCCCCCTCCATAACAGGATATTCCCCCTCCATAACAGGATATCCCCCCTCCATAACAGGATATCTCCCCCTCCATAACAGGATATCCCCCCCCCCCCTCCATAGCAGGATATCCCCCCTCCATAGCAGGATATCCCCCCTCCATAACAGGATATTACTCCCTCCATAACAGGATATCCCCCCCCCCCCCTCCATAGCAGGATATCCCCCCTCCATAGCAGGATATCCCCCCTCCATAGCAGGATATCCCCCCTCCATAACAGGATATTCCCCCCTCCATAGCAGGATATCCCCCCCTCCATAACAGGATATTCCCCCTCCATAACAGGATATTCCCCCTCCATAACAGGATATCCCCCCCCCCCTCCATAACAGGATATCTCCCCCTCCATAACAGGATATCCCCCCTCCATAACAGGATATCCCCCCCCCCTCCATAGCAGGATATCCCCCCTCCATAGCAGGATATCCCCCCTCCATAACAGGATATTCCTCCCTCCATAACAGGATATCCCCCCCCCCTCCATAGCAGGATATCCCCCCTCCATAGCAGGATATCCCCCCCCATAACAGGATATTGCCCCCTCTATAACAGGATATCACCCCCCCCCCCCCCCCATAACAGGATATTCCTCCCCTCCATAACAGGATATCGCCCCCCCCCTCCATAACAGGATATCGCCCCCCCTCCATAACAGGATATTCCCCCCCTCCATAACAGGATATCCCCCCCTCCATAACAGGATATCGCCCCCCCTCCATAACAGGATATATTCCCCCTCCATAACAGGATATCCCCCCCTCCATAACAGGATATCCCCCCTCCATAACACGGAGCAGATTTTTTCTCCCTTCCCATACAAGCCACATTGGTGGAGGGTGTGTGATCTTGTTGTCACATGTGCACAATGCCCGCTCTTTGTCATCAGTTCCTGCAACTGCTTCAGAGTTGCTTGCTGTAGGCCTCTTGGGTGCCTCTGTGACCAGTTTCCTCCTGGATTTTTTTATCCAGTTTAGAGCGACGTCCTGATCCAGGGAGGGTCTGTGTTGTACCAAATACCTTCCACGTCTTAATAATAGACTTCACTGAGCTTCTAGGGGTGATCTTTTTTCCAACTTAATGATTTTGTTTTTATTTTTTTCTGACATGTTGGCATTCTATCCTTCAGTTGGATGTAAATACAGCTGGATAAAACAAAAACTGTGTCTGTCTTCATTTCAGGCTGCAACGCAACAAAATGTGATTGTTTTGAAATGGGGGTGATTCTTTTCTATACCCGCTGTATTACAGCACCCTACTCCTCCATGACCTGCCTGCACAGCATAATGAAGTGAAGAGACCCAATGATGACATGAATGGGTCTAAAATAAGGTATGCAAGGAAAATGGAAAGGATTTATTCCTAAATGTCATCAGCATGTTGATGAGGGGGTACAGGAGGAACAAGAGAAGCAAATAATAATTATAATATAAACAGATTCAACTTCAATTTTAAGATAAATGCTTTGTGCAGCTTTACACACACAAGGGGGGGGGGGGGGGGCACTCTGAATGAGTTCTGTTGTACATAATTGTCAGTCTAATGCATGCTGAAATTGCTAACTTACTTCTCTCCATAGTAACTCTCATAAAACTGCTCCTTCCATGCCTCCACCTTCTTCTCCTTCTCAATCTCCTGGCGGATTCGCAGCTGCATCTCCGGTGTGAACTCACCTGTTAGAGGCAAAAGCAATATTAACAACATGTCCTCCGCTCTAAATACTGCTACAGGGCGGCAGGGCTGCACAAAATCACACACACTCACATTTTTATATATATATATATATATATATATATATACACACACACACACACAGTATCTCCCAGAAGTGAGTCCACCCCTCCCCCGGACTGTATACAATGTATATATATATATACAGTATCTCCCAGAAGTGAGTCCACCCCTCACATTTGTGTAAATATTTGATTCTCTCTTTTCATGTGACAACACTGAAGAAATGACACTTTGCTACAATGTGACGTAGTCAGTGTACAGCTTGTATAACATGTAAATTTGCTGTCCCCTCAAAATCACTCAACACACCGCCATTAATGTCTAAACCGATGGCAACAAAAGTGAGTCCACCCCTAAGTGACAAGGTCCAAATTGGGCCCAATTAGCCATTTTCCCTCCCCGATGTCATGTGACTCGTTTAGTGTTACAAGGTCTCAGCTGTGAATGGGGAGCAGGTGTGTTAATTGTGGTGTTATCACTCTCACTCTCTCATACTGGTCACTGGAAGTTCAACATGGCACCTCATGGCAAAGAACTGAAAAAAAGAATTGTTGCTCTACATAAAGATGGCCTAGGCTATAAGAAGATTGCCAAGACCCTGAAACTGAGCTGCAGCCTGGTGGCCAAGACCATATAGCTTTTTAACAGAACAGGTTCCACTCAGAACAGGCCTCGCCATGGTCCACCAAAGAAGTTGAGTGCTCATGCCAATGGGCACTCTGGGGAAATTACGCTTTAACCATTAGCCGCCCGGCCTATAGCCGTTTGGCGGCTGCAAAAATGCTCTAGCTTTCTGAGGTGTACGCCATTTGGCGTCCTCCCGCACATGCGCAGTTCGCGCGGTTGCAGAGCCGCGCAGTGGCGCGATCTGTCACCGGCCATGTACCTCGGACACGGCCGATGACAGATCTGAGTACCGGCCCCCGTTGCCGGTACCATGTGACCTGCTGTGGCCAATCACAGCAGGTCACATGACAGTTGTATACAATGGATAGCTTCATTCATGCCATCCATTGTATACTAGTGCCTAGCTGTGAATGGTCACAGCAGGTCACATGCACATGATATACAAAATCTGATTGCGCTCTTATGTTTAAATGATCAATATATAAACGTATAAAGCAGCTAACATCTGATCCTATACCTATAGATCTGATAAAGTATAAAAAACAAAAAGTGATGTAGCGCTAAAAACAAGAAGATAATACAAATATACTGTTAATAAGTCATAATAGGCACATAATCAATATGACATAGTAACACACTCATAAACATGTAAAAGGGAGAATAGTGCGTGATGGAACTAGATAAGTAAAATTAAACACATGTGAGTCCCCTGCACACAGTGCACATAACAAAAAAAGTCCAGTGATCCGTATCACATTCCTTCCACTCATGCAGAATCAATGGACTGTGTGTGGACCCGCACACCCCGAAGTGCAATCCAAAACCGGCTGGAATGGCCTCTCACCTCCTATCTGCGACCCTGCAGGGCCACAGAGCATGTAAGATCACCACTGGATCAGGATAACATTCCTCTTGGGTAAATGGCTTCAAGATATATCCCCAGTACACTGATTCCACCTCTCCTGTAATATCCTCAAAGGTCAAATGAGCAGGGTGGATCCCAACTCAAATCCCAATACGTGGTGACGCAATACGTGGTGACGCACTTCCGGTGCGGCGCCATCTTGGAACACCCTTCAGCCACACGCTTACACCCATGGTATGGGAACTAGCTGTATTTCATCTTGCTGATGTAAGTGTGCACAGTACTCAGTTTTAGAACAATTAAAGCGGTTTTACACTATGGAGGATGTCTTCTTCTTCTTTTATCCTATTGGGATTTGAGTTGGGATCCACCCTGCTCATTTGACCTTTGAGGATATTACAGGAGAGGTGGAATCAGTGTACTGGGGATATATCTTGAAGCCATTTACCCAAGAGGAAGGTTATCCTGATCCAGTGGTGATCTTACATGCTCTGTGGCCCTGCAGGGTCGCAGATAGGAGGTGAGAGGCCGTTCCAGCCGGTTTGGGATTGCACTTCGGGGTGTGCGGGTCCACACACAGTCCATTGATTCTGCATGAGTGGAAGGAATGTGATACGGATCACTGGACTTTTTTTGTTATGTGCACTGTGTGCAGGGGTCTCACATGTGTTTAATTTTACTTATCTAGTTCCATCACGCACTATTCTCCCTTTTACATGTTTATGAGTGTGTTACTATGTCATATTGATTAGGTCACATGCAAATGTCATGTGATTAGCTGTGGCCAATCACAGCTAAGCACAAAAAAAAAAAAAAAAAAAAAAAACAAAAAAAAAACACCTGAATGAATCGATGTCATTCAGGTAAATGCTTGCTTATAGCAAAGTAATTCTTTGCTATAAGCAAATTGTGTAAAAAAAAAAAAATACTGATCACTTCCCCAAAGTAGTACAATGTTACTATGGTAACATTGTACTACTATGGTCATAGTAAAATATGAAAAAAAAAATCTTAAAAAAAAAAAAAAAAAAAATTAAAAAATAAAAAAAAAATATATGTATTTTTTTTTCATACTGTCACCAGTCAGTGTCCCTGATCACCGCCATGCCAGTTACATGATGACGCTGTACTGCACTGGTGACAGTATGTAAACAAAAAATAGTGAAAATAATTTTTTTTTATTTTTTCATTTTCTGAAAAATTATGACAAAAAAAATACAACTTCAAAAAACTTGCAATTCCTCTTATGAAGTACGTCGGACTGTCTACTCTGCAAAAAGGGGTCATTGGGGGATATCTGTACTATTCTGACATTTGGGGGATATCTGTACTGTGCTGACATTTGGGGGATATCTGTACTGTCCTGACATTTGGGGGATATCTGTACTGTCCTGACATTTGGGGGATATCTGTACTGTTCTGACATTTGGGGGATATCTGTACTGTCCTGACATTTGGGGGATATCTGTACCGTTCTGACATTTGGGGGATATCTGTACCGTCCTGACATTTGGGGGATATCTGTACTGTTCTGACATTTGGGGGATATCTGTACTGTGCTGACATTTGGGGGATATCTGTACCGTGCTGACATTTGGGGGATATCTGTACTGTTCTGACATTTGGGGGATATCTGTACTGTCCTGACATTTGGGGGATATCTGTACTGTTCTGACATTTGGGGGGTTATCTGTATTGTGCTGACATTTGGGGGATATCTGTACTATTCTGACATTCTTGGACCTCAAGAAATTAGATTGGCTGTCAGTACTTCAGGATTGATCAATATTCAGATCTATACCATAGTTTGTGAACTCTATAACTTTCCTACAAACTAAATACATCTTAATTTGGGTTATTTTCACCAAAGACATGTAGCAGAATACATCTTGGCCTAAATTTATGAAGAACAAATATTTATTTGTAAACTTTTATAACAGAAACAAAAAGAAAAACGTGTTTTTTTTTCAACATATTTGGTCTTTTTTTGTTAATTTAGCAAAAAAATAAAAACCCCAGCAGTGATTAAATACCACCAAAAGAAAGCTCTAGTTGTGTGAAGAAAATGATAAAATTTTAGTTTGGGTACAATGTTGTATGACCGCGCAATTGTCATTCAAAGTGTGAGAGTGCTGAAACGTGAAAAATGGCCTGGGCAGGAAGGTGTAAAATTGCCCGGTATTGAATTGGTTAAGGACTGCTCCCCTGCTCCCCATTAAGGATTGGCACCTTTGGGGGGCGGGAGCGGGTATCCGAATTTGACAGGTGCCCACTTCCGGTCCGATCGCCTAGGTGAGCGGAAGGTGTCCTACCTCCCGGTAGTCTTTTGGGACACTTGACAGGTCCCAGAAGACTACAGGACCATTCATAAAGTGCACTGCTACTCACGCATGCGCAGTGGGTATCCGGCTGTGAAGCCGCAAGCTGCACAGCCGGGTGCTCACATTGAAGATGCCGGCCTGCTGGAATACAGGACGGCCGGTGAAACGAGCTGCGGGGGACACACCGAGGGACAGGTAAGTGGCTATTTTTTTAAAAGTCAGCAGCTACAGTTTTTGTAGCTGCTGACTTTTATTTTTTGACAGGGTGAGTGGAACTCCGCTTTAACTTTGTTCCAAAGTGCTGCTAACTCCTCCACCCTGCCTAGCAATATTTAATATTAAATGTGTTTTGGATACACAGCAAACTGCAACAGCAAAAAAAAAAACAAAAACAGAAAAGAACCTTTACAGGGATGAATACCTAAAAATGAACAAAAAAAATAAAACTTTTAAATGGAGTTTAGGTCAAGACAGCCTTAATAACTTGTTTCTCTCATTACCTGTTTTTCCTCCTTTTTTACATTTTATTTAACTATTATTATGGCATCTTTATTAAATTTTTGTTTTTTTGATCTTTTTCTTTAGCATTGTGATAAAATGTAAAAAAAAATTGCATTTATTTGGGTTGTTAAAAACAAAGTTTCCAGTGAAGAACTGAATTTCTGAAAAGAAGGTACTTACATGTCACCACTTTGACACAAATCAAAGTTAAGTGAAGATTTATATTTGTCATTTTAGGAGACTAGACAGAGACCTGCAAATCACTCCTCTCTGTGCATTCTATTGGTTTACAGCAGGGCTTAAAAAATTTGCTTTGAATCTAGGAGCCAGCTAAAAATTTTTTTTTTTTGTTAGCGTAGCGTGGCTTGTCAGCCCCCGGGGCAAGGCAACTTTTGAGTGACAAGCTTCATGCAATTTGCCACGTGACATTCATGGCAAATCCGCACCTTAGGTGTCACTGAAAATGATAGCACCTAAACCTGCATTTTGCAGTCACAGGGATTCTGCCTCAATCCCAAAACGCCCAGGTGTGAATGAAGCCCCCCTGGGTCACACATATGTGATTCTGGATGTGTTTTCAATCTCACAGATTTGCATGACAGGCTAGATATTATGTGTTTCTATTGAGGTGGTTCACACAGAAGTGATCCACACGTATTGTGTTGCCATTACGAAAAGGGTCCTGTGAGATTCTGTGTCTGCGTTCCAGACTTGCAAGTGATAGAGGAGAGTGGCATGTGGAGATAAGTGTTCACAGGATTGCTATTGACAGGAGTTATACCACTGAAGTCAGAGGGAGGCGTTTTTGCATTGAATTCAATGGGAGGCGGTTTTGCATTGAATTCAATGGGAGGCGTTTTTGCATTGACTTCAATGGGAGGTGATTTTGCATTAAAGTCAATGGGAGGCGATTTTGCATTGAAGTCGATGGGAAGGCGTTTTTGCATTGAAATCAATGGGAGGTGTTTTTGCACTGAAGTAGATGGGAGGTGTTTTTGCACTGAAGTCAAAGGGAGGCAATTCTGCACTGAAGTCAATGGGAGGCAATTCTGCACTGAAGTCAATGGGAGGAGTTTTTGCACTGAATTCAATGGGAGGCGATTTTGCATTGATATCGGCAGCACAGTGGCTAAATGGTTAGCACTTCCCCCTGGCAGTACTCGGGTCGTTGGTTTGAATCCCAGCCACGGCACCTCCTGCCTGGAGTTCCCCCTGTGCCTGCGTGGGTTTCCTCCGGGTACTCCGGTTTCCTCCCACACTCCAAAGACATGTGGGTAGGTGAACTGGATCCTGTCTAAATTGTCCCTAGTATGTATGAATGTAAACTAGGGACCTTAGATTGTACACCCCTTGAGGGTTAGGGACTGATGTGAATGTACAGTATATATGTAAAGCGCTGCGTAAATTGACAGCACTATATATGTACCTGAAATAAATAAATTCAATGGGAGGAGATTTTGCTTTGAAGTTAATGAGAGGTGATTTTACATTGAAGTCAGTGGGAGGTGATTTTACATTGAAGTCAGTGGGATGTGATTTTGCATTGAAGCCAGTGGGAGGCAATTTTGCACTGAAGTCAATGGGAGGCGTTTTTGCATTGAAGTCAATGGGAGGCAATTCTGCACTGAAATCAAAGGGAGGCAACTCTGCACTGAAGTCAATGGGAGGCGTTTTTACATTGGATTCAATGGGAGGCGATTTTGTATTGAAGTCAATGGGAGGCAATTTTGCATTGAAGGCAATGGGAGGCGATTTTGCATCGAAAGTAATGGGAGGCGATTTTGTATTGAAGTCAGTGGGAGGTGATTTTGCATTGACGTCAGTGGGAGGTGATTTTGCATTGAAGTCAGTGGGAGGCAGTGTGTGAACCCAGGCGCAAGGATGCAATTTCTAGTTGCAATGGCGACCTGGGATTTGTCGAGGACAGTGTAAAATCTAAGAGCCATTTATTGCATTGTAATCTTTTTTCTATGATTTTACCTGAGGACAGTCGAGAGCTTACCTTCAGCCAGTCTCTCCTTCCAGCTCTGAGATGCTGAGGTGAAGAATTCATTGTTGAGGGCAGAGTTGTTCAGCTTCAAGAGCCCATCTGAACCGGCCTGAGGACAACAGAAATGTCATTACTTCTCCAATTTGAAGAAATAATAAGTAGCTCTGGAACTCCAGACTATCCTATTGGTGATATTATACACTAGAGTTGCAGCGGTCTATGAACTGGGTTTCTGGATTCTGGGCTGGCAGCTCCGATATGCCAAAGTATTTCCAGAATGTTCTTGGTTTGTAATATATCTAAAAGGATCTGAGACTGAAGAGCCAAACCGCCAGCTAATAGTCCAGATATAATTTTAATCCAATGTGAGATCGAATAGAGTCAACGTGTTTCGGGGGCCAGAAATTTCCCCATTTATCAGGGATAGGATGTGGAAAGCAATATACAGTGAAGGAAATGCGTATTTGATCCCCTCCTGATTTTGAATTCACAAAGAAATGATCGGTCTAACAATCGAATGTTCGGTGTATTGTAACACTGAGAGACAGAATAGCAACAACAAATTTCAAAAGAAATGCATGTCTAACAAATGATGACTGATTTGCATGTTCATGAGGGAAATAAGTATTTGATCCCCTTCACAAAACATGACTTAGTACTTGGTGGCAAATCCCTTGTTGGCAATCACAGAGGTCAGACGTTTCCTGTAGTCGGCCACCAGGTTTGCACACATCTCAGGAGGGATTTCGGCCCACTCCTCTTGGCAGATCCTCTCCAAGTCATTAAGGTTTGGTGGCTGACATTTGGTAACTCGAACTTTCAGCTCCCTCTACAGATTTTCAATTGGATTAAGGTCTGGAGACTGGCTAGGCTACTCCAGGACCTTAATGTGCTTCTTCTTGAGCCACTCCTTTGTTGCCATGGCCATGTGTTTTGGGTCATTGTCATGCTGGAACACCCATCCACGACCCATTTTCAATGCCCTGGCTGAGGGAAGAAGGGTCTCACCCAAGATTTGATGGTACATTGCCCAGTATATCGTCCCTTTGATGTGGTGCAGTTGTCCTGTCCCCTTAGCAGAAAAACACCCCCAAAGCAGAATGTTTCCACCACCATGTTTGACAGTTGGGATGGTGTTCTTGGGGTCATAGGCAGCATTCCTCCTCGATTTTGGTCTCATCTGACCACAACATTTTTAGCCAGTCCTCCTCTGCATCATTCATATGTTCAGTGGCAAACTTCAGACGGGCCTGGACATGTGCTTTCTTGAGCAGAGGGACCTTGCGGGAACTGCAGTATTTCAATCCTTGTCGGCGTAGCGTGTTACCCATTGTTTTCTTGGTGACTGTGGTCCCAGCTGCCTGGAGATCATTGACAAGATCCTCACATGTAGTTCTGGGATGATTCCTCAATGTTCTCATGATCATTGACACTCCACAAGGTGAGATCTTGCATGGTGCACCAGACCTAGGGAGACTGACAGTTGTTTTGTGTTTCTTCCATTTGCGAATGATTGCACCAACTGTTGTCACCTTCTCACCAAGCTGCTTGGCGATAGTTTGGTAGCCCAGTCCAGCCTTGTGTAGGTCTACAATCTTGTCCCTGACATCCTTGGACAGCTTTTTGGTCTTTACCATGGTGGAGAGTTTGGAATCTGATTGTTTGATTGCTCCTGTGGACAGGTGTCTTTTATACAGGCAACAAAATGATATTAGCAGCATTCCCTTTAAGAGACTGCTTCTAATCTCAGCTTATTACCTGTATGAAAGACACCTGGTAGCCAGAAATCCTGCTGAATGATAGGGGATCAAATACTTATTTCCCTCATAAACATGCAAATCAGTGCATAATTTGTTAGACATACATTTCTTTTGAATTTTTTGTTGCTATTCTGTCTCTCAGTGTTATAATACACCGAACATTTGATTTTTAGACTGATCATTTCTTTGTGAGTGGGCAAACATTCAAAATCAGCAGGGATCAAATACGCATTTCCTTCACTATACTGTATGTGGACTGGACCGAACAAAGAATATAAGAACTACAGTAAGGTATTTCAGCACAGTGTTTTCAGCCACCTTCCGGTCCAGTCTAGACTGTATTTGTTGTTTTCCACTTCAGGCTCTGATGAATGGGCAGTTTTTGGCCCCCGAAATGTGTTGTCTCTATTTGATCATACATTAGCATAAAATTTCACTACAGTAGACAAAAGCAGAAACATACAGCCTATATATCTACATGCTCCCTCAAATGTCCTGAACTAGAGTATGGAATCTTATAAAGCTATTTTGAAACTACCCTCCAACGAAGGAGTATCCATAGACCCCTGGCTCTAAGAAGGACCTGTGACCACCCTCTACAACACGGGTGTCAAATTGGCGGCCCTCCAGTTGTTGCCAAACTACAAGTCCCATGAGGCATTGCAAGATTGACAGTTACAAGCATGACTTCCAAAGGCAGAGGCATGATGGGACTTGTAGTTCTGAAACAGCTGGAGGGCCGCCAGTTTGACACCCCTGCTCTACAACTACACATACACACTTTTTACAGACCCAAAGGCAGAGTAACCTTTTCTTATAATACAATCAATCAGGATTGCACCGATGCCAATACTGAGTACTAGCACAACGTACTGGTGCAAATACTCCCAACATCAAGTACCAATACCTTTGCCGTGTGATTTGAGCCCATACAAAATGAGTGGGCTCAAATCCCACTGCAAAGAATTGTATGTGATTTGAACAGGAATGCAGTGCAATGCCTGTCCGAATCGCATTCGGTTTCCCACACCGTTCTTGTGTGAACCCAGGCTTGTCATAGTGACTTTGAGCCTGAGTTCACAGAGGAGCAGTGCGGGAGACCTTCATGCATGATGGGTTCCACCAGCTCTGGCTCCCAATCCCACTGTGGATATCAGCGGCCACGGCTTGAACTCCTCCTGCCTCTCCCATGGCTCTCTTCCCCCAGCCTCCAGCAGTTCCAGCCATCCACTGGATCCCCTCCCCATCCTCCCTGGTCCCATTGTACCAGACTGCCGATCCCCTGCAGTGCTGACAATACAGGCTAGATGGCTTCGGATTGGTCAGCACCATCCATGTGACGGCGCTGACCAATTAGAATCCCTATAGTCCATACTGTCAGCATTGCAAGGAGAGGAGGAAAAGCCACAGGGACTTCAAATCCCCAGACCTGTGAAGTGGCTTTTCGGCAGTTTGGTACACAGCAGGACCAGGGGGGATGGGGGAGAGGAGGTTCAGTGGATGGCAGAAAGCACAGGAGGCTGAGGGAAGAGAACAGCTGGAGGTTTAGGGAGAGAGCCATGGGAGAGGCAGGAAGCAGGAGGAGCCCAAGCCGCGGCCGCTGATGTCCACAGTGGGATGGGGAGCCAGAGCTGGAGGAACCCGTCATGCAGGGAGGTTTCCTGCACCGCTCCTGTGTGAACTCAATATGACAAGCCTGGGTTCACACAGGAGCTGTGCAAGAAACCGCATGCGATTCGGACAGGATTAGCACTGCATTCCTGTTCAAATTGCATGCAATTCTTTGCATTATGATTTGAGCCCATTCATTTTGTATGTGCTCAAATTACACCAAAAAGGTACTGGTACTTGGTATCGGCGAGTACTTAACCTAAAGTATCGGTACTCATACTCGCCGGTAAAAAAAATGGTATTGGTGCATCCCTACATACCATAAATGTATTTATTTCTTGTATTTATGATCTTCTTTTAATAAACCTATTTAACATACCAGTAAATTGGAGGAATTTTGACTTTCCTGTAGATTCCACATCTTTACATTTTTATCTTATCTTTATCATATCCTTACATTTCCAGATCTTTAGAGTACAGTGTGTGTATGAAGAGGATGCCTGTGTCCTGTATTTTTTTATTAAAGGGTAACTCCACTTTCGTGGGAAAAAAATACAGAAAACAAAAAAATAAATAAATAGCATTGACAACTGCAACCTAAGCCATATTGTAATTTGTTGGGATTAAAAATGGCCTTTCCTTTTCAAACTGCAGCTGCTGTAGTTTTCTATAAAATCAATGCAATACGGCACAGGAGGTGTTCTATGCACAGCTGGTGTACTGAATCCCCCCAGACATGTTATTTATTTATTTATTTCAGGTACTTATATAGCGAAGTCAATTTACGCAGCACTTTATACATATATTGTACATTCACATCAGTCCCTAACCCTCAAGGGGCGTACAATCTAAGGTCCCTAACTTACATACATACACATACTAGGGACAATTTAGACACGAGACAATTAACCTACCAGCATGTCTTTGGAGTGTGGGAGGAAACCGGAGTACCCAGAGGAAACCCAAGCAGGCACAGGGAGAACATGCAAACTCCAGGCAGGAAGTGCCATGGCTGGGATTCATACCAACGACCCTAGTGCTGCCAGGCGGAAGTGCTAACCATTTAGCCATGTTATTTCCTACTTGTGTGAAGAAGTCTGCACTAAGATAGTAGTCAGGCTTTAGACATCCTCTGCTCAAAAATGCCACTCCCTGACCCTAGGTTCACATCTGTGCGGGTGGTGCCGCTGCGGATCCGCACGAAAATCCGTGCAGCTGCACCACCCACAGAGAATTGCGGACCCGTGGGCGGGTGCCATTAATTCTAATGGCACGCCGCCCGCACTGGAATACGCCACCATACTGGGAACCGAGGTTCTAGTGTGGGCTGCGTTTTCCAAAGAAGTGCAGGGACTTCTTCCCTGCGTGTCACAGGCACGAGAGTCCGGATTGTCTGGATCTTGGTTTTAAGGCATTGTTGTTTAATTGATCTAGCTAGCATATTTCCTGCCTTGTTACTTAGAGAGTAAAACTTGGCTTTCATTTTTTTTAAGTTAAGGTCATGTTGGTAAAATAAGAGAGATCGAAGTTTCTCTCTGTCAGCCAGTAATGAAGAAGAGTTGGACTCAGTCGGGTTGGATTTGTTTAGATCCTCTTTGATTTTAATAGAGGCTAGTACCTCCTCTACCTGATGCCTCCTATGGGTATTTATTTGGGCATTTAATTTAATAAGAATCCCTCTTCTGAATGCTTTATATGTAGCCCATACGGTCTGTATTGACACATCTGGGGTGTCATTGGTCTTGCAAAAAAGATTGTATGCTTCCTTGATTACTTTCTTGTGGTCAGGATCTGATAGTATGGAAGAGTTCAGTCTCCATGGTTTGGCAGTTGATAAGCTATTAGACGAACCTACGGAGATAAAAACTGGTGCGCGGTCTGACCATGTAATAGTTGCAGTGTCCATTTGTCCATAAGGAAGAAGTCTATTCTTGAATACGAACGTTGTGATGGGAAGAAGTAAGAGTAATCCCTTTCAGAACCGTGTTGACATCTCCAGATGTCATAGAGGTCATTGGTATGGAGAAATTGGTTTAGGCTGTGGTTCAGAGGTCTCTTGCCAGAAGATGAATCTAGTTGTGTGTTACCCACTGTATTGAAGTCTCCACCTATAATCAGTGTGCCTTTTCTGAGAAGATTGATTTTGGTGAGCAGGTGTTTGCAAAATGCGATCTGGTTAGAGTTCGGACCATATACGTTGACAAGTGTATAGGGCAGTGTTTCTCAACCTTTTTTCAAGGCACCCTATAAACTTATGGACAGTCCTGAGGCACCCTATAAAATTATGGACAGTCCCGAGGTACCCTATAAAATTATGGACACTCCCGAGGCACCCTATAAAATTATGGACAGTCCCGAGGCACCCTATAAAATCATGGACAGTCCAGAGGTACCCTATAAAATCATGGACAGTCCCGAGGCACCCTATAAAATCATGGACAGTCCCGAGGTACCTTATAAAATTATGGACAGTCCCGAGGCACCCTATAAAATTATGGACAGTCCCGAGGCACCCTATAAAATTATGGACAGTCCCGAGGCACCCTATAAAATTATGGACAGTCCCGAGGCACCCTATAAAATTATGGACAGTCCGAGGTACCCTATAAAATTATGGACAGTCCCGAGGCACCCTATAAAATCATGGACAGTCCCGAGGTACCTTATAAAATTATGGACAGTCCCGAGGCACCCTATAAAATTATGGACAGTCCCGAGGCACCCTATAAAATTTATGGACAGTCCCGAGGCACCCTATAAAATTATGGACAGTCCCGAGGCACCCTATAAAATTATGGACAGTCCCGAGGCACCCTATAAAAATTATGGACAGTCCAGAGGCACCCTATAAAGTTATGGACAGTCCCGAGGCACCCTATAAAGTTATGGACAGTCCCGAGGCACCCTATAAAGTTATGGACAGTCCCGAGGCACCCTATAAAATTATGGACAGTCCAGAGGCACCCTATAAAGTTATGGACAGTCCCGAGGCACCCTATAAAGTTATGGACAGTCCCGAGGCACCCTATAAAGTTATGGACAGTCCCAAGGCACCCCATTCTAAAATGTGAAAAACTATTCTAATAGTTTTATATAATGCAGCAACCACACACATAGGACACCCAACATTAGAGGTGATTTATTCTTCCAAAGCAAATACATTTTTTGCACACTGGTACTGACTAGTATTCCAATGTTTCTCTTCTCCCTCAGTTTTTTATCCATCACTGAGCTAATGTGACCCCAGCACTGATGGAGAGGAGCAGGGGAGGGTCAAACTAGGATGCAGGCAGCAGACATCATCCTTACCATCTGATGATGCCATTTGTTATCAGGATGCTGCTGGCTAGAAGGTTGTAATGGTGCACAATGAAAACCTGTGGCTTTGTGTAACTAAAAGACAGGCTTTTTCCACCTGCTGGCTTGTATACAATTTTTGTGGGCAATTTCTAGACATTTTGCTGAGGCACCCCTGAAGAAACCTCAAGGCACCCTGGTTGAGAAAGGCAGGTATAGGGAACGTCACTGATAAAGGCATAATAGGATGTGGAAAGCGACCTTGAGGATCTGCATATTCAGAGGTAAAGTGGAAGTTAATCGAGTCTTTCATAGTTGCCAGGACTCCATTAGTTTTTTTGTGGTGTGACGCCAAATATTTTGTAGAACAATGTTTGATTGAGAAGATAGGTGTTTTAGTGAAGGCAAAGTGAATTTCTTGAATGAAGATGACATCTGCATGGATTTCTTTGGTTAGAGAAGATCTTTTTTAGGGTGAGTTTAGTCCTCTGACATCAAATGATATTACTTTAAACATATTTTAGGTTATGGAGGTGCAGAGGTGGTTCTGGGTGGTCTGTTGTATTGGTGTCGTGCATCTTGTCAAACTTGTGAGACGGAATGATTGGATTGATTTGGTCGGTAGTAAACTGCATCTGGCATATCAGTAGGAAGCATTACAGAATGGGAGGTTATTCATAGGCAGGTGGTGCTGGTAAACTTGCCAAGAGTGTAGCTTAATAGTGTGGAGTATGGTCGACTGGCAGAAAAGAATGAAAACTTTGGGAAAACCTTTTTTGTAAAAAAATCTTGCAAAAAATGCAAGGAACATGGGTAATCATTATGATTACTGTCATCCAGAGGCATCGTAGCAAGCATGGTGACAATAGGTTGTCATCATGTATCATCTGAGGTGAACTAGGATACATCAAAAGCAAACCGAGGCTTTACAACAGCATATGTGGTGTAAGAATGGTCAGGGGACCATTAGTTGAACTTTGTCACTTATGTCCAATCATCCTCCATTTACATAGTTAGTCTGGCTGAAAAAAGACAAAATCCATCCAGTTCAACCATAGAAAAAAAAAAAAAAAGTTATAATCCTATACCCACAGTTGATCCAGAGGAAGGAAAAAAAACTCAGCAAAGCATGATCCAATTTGCACCTGCTGGGGAAAAAATTCCTTTCTGATCCCCCCGAGAGGCAATCGGATATTCCCTGGATCAACTTTACCTATAAATGTTAGTATCCAGTTATATTCTGTGTATCCAAGAAAGAATCCAGGACTTTTCCTACAGCAATCCACTGAGCTGGCCACAACCAACTCTTGAGGGAATCTATTCCACATTTTCACAGCTCTCACTGTGAATAGAAGAAACCTTTCCGTGTTTGGAGATTACATTTCTTTTCCTCCAGACGTAAAGAGTGCCCCCTTCTCCTCTGTGATGACCTCAGGGTGAATAAACTACACCGAGTTCACTATATGTACCACTGATGTATTTATACATGGAGATCATATCCCCCTTATGTATTATACATGGAGATCATATCCCCCTTATGTATTATACATGAGATCATATCCCCCCTTATGTATTATACATGGAGATCATATCCCCCCTTATGTTTATACACATGGAGATCATATCCCCTTATGTATCCCCCCTTTAGTATTATACATGGAGATCATATCCCCCCTTATGTATTATTACATGGAGATCATATCCCCCTTATGTATTATACATGGAGATTCATATCCCCCCTTATGTATTATACATGGAGATCATATCCCCCCTTATGTATTATTATACATGGAGATCATATCCCCCCTTATGTATTATACATGGAGATCATATCCCCCCTTACGTATTATACATGGAGATCATATCCCCCCTTTACGTAATTATACATGGAGATCATATCCCCCCTTATGTATTATACATGGAGATCATATCCCCCCTTATGTATTATACATGGAGAACATATCCCCCCTTATTATTATACATGGAGATCATATCCCCCCTTATGTATTATACATGGAGATCATATCCCCCCTTATGTATTATACATGGAGATCATATCCCCCCTTATGTATTATACATGGAGATCATATCCCCCCTTATGTATTATACATGGAGATCATATCCCCCCCCTTATGTATTATACATGGAGACCATATCCCCCCCTTATGTATTATACATGGAGATCATATCCCCCTTATGTATTACACTTACATGGAGATCATATCCCCCCTTATGTATTATACATGGAGATCATATCCCCCCCTTTATGTATTATACATGGGAGATCATATCCCCCCTTTATGTATTATACATGGAGATCATATCCCCCCTTATGTATTATACATGGAGATCATATCCCCCCTTATGTTTATACATGGAGATCATATCCCCCCCTTATGTATTATACATGGAGATCATATCCCCCCTTATGTCATTATACATGGAGATGGAGATCATATCCCCCCTTATGTATTATACATGGAGATCATATCCCCCCACTTATGTATTATACATGGAGAAACATATCCCCCCCTTATGTATTATACATGGAGATCATATCCCCCCCTTATGTATTATACATGGAGATCATATCCCGCCTTATGTATTATACATGGAGATCATATCCCCCCTTATGTATTATACATGGGGATCATATCCCCCCTTATGTATTATACATGGAGATCATATCCCCCCTTATGTATTATACATGGAGATCATATCCCCCTTATGTATTATACATGGAGATCATATCCCCCCCCTTATGTATTATACATGGTGATCATATCCCCCTTATGTATTATACATGGAGATCATATCCCCCCTTATGTATTATACATGGAGATCATATCCCCCCCTTATGTATTATACATGGAGATCATATCCCCCCCTTATCTATTATACATGGGATCATATCCCCCCTTATGTATTATACATGGAGATCATATCCCCCCTTATGTATTATACATGGAGATCATTATCCCCCTTATTATGTATTATACATGGATCATATCCCCCCTTATGTATTATACATGGAGATCATATCCCCCCTTATGTATTATACATGGAGATCATATCCCCCCTTATGTATTATACATGGAGATCATATCCCCCCTTATGTATTATACATGGAGATCATATCCCCCCTTATGTATTATACATGGAGATCATATCCCCCCTTATGTATCATACATGGAGAGATCATATCCCCCCCTTATGTATTATACATGGAGATCATATCCCTCCTTGTGTATTATACATGGAGATCATATCCCCCCCCTTATGTATTATACATGGAGATCATATCCCCCCTTATGTATTATACATGGAGATCATACCCCCCCTTATTTATTATACATGGAGATCATATCCCCCTTATGTATTAAAAATACATGGAGATCATATCCCGTCCTTGTGTATTATACATGGGAGATCATATCCCCCCTTATGGTATTAACAGGTGGATCATATCCCCCCTTATGTATTATACATGGAGATCATATCCCCCCTTATGTATTATACATGGAGATCATATCCCCCTTATGTATTATACATGGAGATCATATCCCCCCCTTATGTATTATACATGGTGATCATATCCCCCCCTTATGATATTATACATGGTGATCATATCCCCCCCTTATGTATTATACATGGTGATCATATCCCCCCTTATGTATTATACATGGTGATCATATCCCCCCTTATGTATTATACATGGAGATCATATCCCTCCTTATGTATTATACATGGAGATCATATCCCCCCCTTATGTATAATACATGGAGATCATATCCCCCCTTATGTATTATACATGGAGATCATATCCCCCTTATGTATTATACATGGTGATCATATCCCCCCGTATGTATTATTAGACATGGTGATCATATCCCCCCTTATGTATTATTATACATGGAGATCATATCCCCCCTTATGTATTATACATGGAGATCATATCCCTCCTTATGTATTATACATGGAGATCATATCCCCCCCTTATGTATTATACATGGAGATCATATCCCTCCTTATGTATTATACATGGAGATCATATCCCCCCCTTATGTATTATACATGGAGATCATATCCCCCCTTAAACTCCTCTATTCTCAGTAGAGAATAAATTCAGTTCCTCTAATCTTTCCTCATAGCTGATCTCCTCCATACCTCTTATCAGTTTGGTTGCCCTTCTCTGTACTTTCTCCAGTTCCCCAATGTTCTTTTTGTGAATTGGTGCCCAAAACTGAACTGCATATTCCAGATTGGTCTTACTAATGATTTTACCGGGGGAATGATATCTCTCTCTCTGGAGTCTATACCTCTATTAATACAAGAGAGGATTTTGCTCACTTTAGAAACTGCAGCTTGGCATTGCATGCCATTATTAAGCTTGTGATCTACCAGAACCCCCAGATCCTTCTCCAACATTGACCCCCCCCAGATCCTTCTCCACCATTGATCCCCCCACATCCTTCTCCACCATTGATTCCCCCAGTTGTACCCCCCCTAGTATGTATGATGCATGCATATTCTTAGCCCGCAAGTGCAGAACCTTACATTTATCAACATTAAACCCCATTTGCCACATAGTCCCCCAATTACACAGAGCATTGAGGTCGGCTTGTAAGCTGGAGACATCCTGTAAGAC